ATCTTTTATTTGCGAGGAATTTATTCATTTTTCATGGGGGGGCATATAAAGGAATGAACAATCACTTTGAAAGCGACAGACAGCCAAGACTCGTGATGTGAGTGTGGTTGTATGTTAATGACAGAGAGACAGAGTCGAAGTGACTTGACCTTGACTTGACCTTGGAAGAACTTTTCGTAAATATTATTGTCTTGACTTTTTTCTGTGGCTTGAAGTCTGGCCTTTTATGAAATTGTCACCCATTTCTATGGTGACACCTGTAACATTAGAGTGCCACACATGCTTTTTTGAAATCAGGTGAAGCATACTTTAATAACCTACTAGTTTCTACAGTATTACCATATTTTCGTATTTTAAAGTCAACATATATATTTCCTCATGGATTTGTTGCTACTTTTCATTCCACAACATATCTAGAGGGGAGTTAATTTACTGTAGTGACTTGACCTTTATAGAAGAACTTTACATTTGTAGATATCATTGTATGGCTTGAAGTCTGGCCTATTATTGAATTGTCACCCATTTCTATAGTGACACCTGTAACATTATTAGGGTACCGCACATACTTCTTCTTTATAAACCCTATTGTATTGGGATTTGCAATTATTTTGGGAAGTACATTCCACATCCAATGGCCCGAATTCACAAAGGAGGTTTGTATACAAATGTTTTGACGCGTTTCAAACCAATGTTTGTCTGAACCTTGGTCTGAAACGCATCGAAACGTAGGTTTGTCAACAAACCTCTTTTTGTGAATTCGGGCGAATGTCGGCCCAAATTCACAAATGTGTCATGGGATGTGCAACCAACCAATGTACTGGTAAAGCATATACAGCTGTACATGAATATTTATATAATATTGGATGGCTTTGAATGTGAAACAAGAATATATTGCTCGAGCTATGACAATATTGGACGAGTCAAAGACGAGTCTAATAATTATTGTCTTAGCGAGAGCAATGTATTCCTGTATCACACGAAAACAAAGCCATACAATATTATTATTATTATTATCTATAATATTCTGACAAGTTAAAAAACAAACTTCGACTTACCTCGGTAAATATGGCTTTGTTTTCGTATGATATCGATATCAATAGTTGAAGATCCCGGATGACTGAGAAATACAATTCAAGATATTGAATACGCTGATTTATTGTACCACTTGAAATCCTTATATATATATATATATATATATATATATATATATATATATAATAATACACTTGTTTTTGCCACACCTATTTTGGTATGGTATGGTATGGTATTTATTGAATCATTCATTCCAGTTCAGAATTACACATATGTATAATTTGCATTTTAAAAACAAGAGTACAATTTAAAACAGCATCATTTACATAATTATAAGTATACGTATACGTGTTTATCCTTAATTTTGTACCAAATGTAAAATAAAAGCAACAATACGAACATGGGGAACAGGGGAATATGTACCTAAATAAAATACGAAAGTGAGGAAGAGAAAAGGGAAAGATAAAGAGATGGAGAAAGAGAAAAAATAGAGAGAGGGGAAAGGAGAGAGAGAGTGACAAGAGGTAAAGAAGGTGGAAGAGAGAAAGGGGGATCTTGCCAACAATTATTAAAAAGTATGCATTGCAACACTACGAATAGTATTAATTAGATGAACAAAAAGTACATTGTAAACATTGTGGCCCGAATTCACAAAGCAAGGTTTGAGCTCAGACCAAGGTTTGAGCTCAAACCTCCTTTTGTTTCGCCAAACCTCCCTTTGTTATTTACAAACCTGGTTTGTAAATAACAAAAGGAGGTTTGGCGAAACAAAAGGAGGTTTGAGGTCAAACCTTGGTCTGAGCTCAAACCTTGCTTTGTGAATTCGGGCCACATATGGCGCACCTAAAAATCTTTGGTAAGGTTATATGAAAATGTATCTATGATAACACTTTTTTAACGCAGATGATAGTAGAAACATTAAGAAAGTATAATAACAACCTCTTATAAAAAAAAAAAATTAAAATACATGCGGATATAGCAGAGAAGTTCAAAAGGAGTAATTACAGACCTGAGTAAACCAATAGTGTTAAGATAGAATATCGGGCAACCAGGGGCAATTTAACATAATAATTATACAATAGACAGTACACATTACCAATTGAGATAAAGCGTATTGGAAATGTTTACATTAAGTTTCTACATTTAGCAATAATATATTTGTTCAATCCAAGATAGTTGATTTAACCTAAAATATAATGCATTAAGATTTGGCGAATTGAAGATGTGTTCAGGAAAAGATTGCAAATAATTAATATTAAAAAAATTACCTAATTTGATCTTGATACAGAAATAAAAGTTTGGAAAAAATAAATGTAGTTCACAAATTTTGGCAATATTATGCTATCAACAAAGTTGAACAAAAGCGAGGATGCCACATCATGACTGGTTCAAAAGCCTTACTAGATAGGGTAAAGAACTTTGTAGCGTTCTGTCCTACACTTGATTTCACGTAGCCTGTTTTTATGTCTCAATTGTCTTCGAGAACACTGGCTTTCAGGTAACCACTCACGAAAGTTACAGTAGACGGACCTAGCTCTTCTCTTCTGTCTCTTAGAGAGGACAGGTTACACATTGCGAGAGCCTGACGGTAGGATTCATATCTTAATCCTATAATGGTCCGCAGGGCACGTTTTTGGATTGACTCTATTCCTGGTTTTGAGTTTATAATGACGAATGCCATACTACACAACAGTATTCTAGAACCGGTCTTATGTAGGAAGTAAAAGCTGCATGTGATCAAATCATGAAGTGGCATGGAGAAACGTTTGAGCGTCCGTAGCAGATAGAGTTTCTTGGCTGCTGTTGATGTAATGCAGTTGACGTTTTTGATTCACCGAAGATCACTGCTAAGGACGACGCCAAGCAATTTCACGTGTTGCTTGTCCGGGATTTGATTATCGCCGATCATAACTTCCACTGGCGGGAGCTGTCGACGAGCAAATGATACCCTCATGAGTGGATGGGTTTAGACGCATATTCAAGTCCTTACACCATTCTTCAAATACAGACAATGTAGCATTAAGACAACTTGGTGAATTTGATGCGAATACCCGAATCAAACGTGGTGAGATTCCGTCCGGTCCACCACTTTTCCAAGGGTTGTATGGTTGGCAAAGTGTCCAGCTGAATCGGTTTGAACGCAGGAATCTCGTTCAAATCAAGGGATAGGGTGTCCTTTCCGATGCTTACGAAGTACGAGTTTATGGCATTGGCTATTGCCAACGTGTTAGAACAATTTATATTTGGCAACGAAATAGACGTTTCTTGTTGCCTATTCGAGGTAATCAGTTTGATATATATGTACCACGATGCGGGGTTTTCGCGTTTCAGATGTTGGACGCGGTCTTTTTCGCAAAAGTGATCGCTTGCTGCACTTTGTTTCGAAGACTTCGCCAATTCAGGGAGCCTGATGAGTGGAAGGCCGTTTGTCGTTGGTGTATTAAATCTTTGACCTTAGTTGTCATCCAAGGCTTATCCATCATATGCAGCTTTACGGACTTGGTTGGGAGATGAGTGTTGATTGCCGCGTTCAAATAGAACATCTTACATTTGCGTTCTACATCCGTTCCTTGATAAACACTTATCTAATCGCGGTGTGTTATCCAACTGCCGAATTAACGCACATCCGATTGACGCATCGGTCTGACAGTTTTCTGTCTGACTTCATTTCTCCTGGATGATTGCTGTTTTGACCTCCATATGACTCCATTATGGTCGCTCATTCCAAATAGGGCAACAATTTGTATAATAGAATACAAACTCTTCATATTAGTAATGACCAAGTCCAGCAGAGAAAGGTTACGCGTTGGACGATTTACAACCTGCTTCAGGTTGTGTCCAGCAAGGAGGGGAAATGCATCAGCTCGATTAAAATCACCAGAGATGATGATGCCTGCCGAAGGGTGTCTCGGAAGAATATGATCAACAACCCGTGTAAGGTACTGAATAAAGTAATTTACATGAGCATTAGTTGGGGTGAGTAAACTGATGCCACAAATATTGAAGAGAATTCCTAGGTAATCGTGTTGGTCGGATGTGTATCCAAACAACCTCATGTTCTTCCGGAACGTCCATGTGGGGTTTAAGTGGGGTTCATAGTAGATTTCACATAGATAGCGACTCCTTCACCACGTTGAGAAACTCGGCTGTTGTTGACAAAGTTGTAGTTTGGAATGCTGAACGCGGTCTCCAAAACACTATCTTGAAACCATGCAGGTCTCACTCACGCAAACAATGTCCATGTCATAATTTTGAACGAGAAACGTGAATTCGTCGAACTTATTATTCAATGATCTTGCGTTAAGCATATACATAGAAGGTAATGATGGTGATTGAGTAGGGAGGGCCTTAATGTTTCTCAATGTTCTTGTCCTAGTCATGGCTGGCTCTTTGACTTGACAACTTTTATTCGTCGTCGGATCTTTTTCCCCTCCCGGCAACCTCTTTTACGAGCAATTCCAAGTTCATGTAAAGTTTCAAACGCATCCCGAGGTATACGACTTTTCGGTTGAGGGCGTAACCTGACAAGTTCATTACTGCTATAACGAATCACTCTGTCTTGTCCGTCGACCGAATGATGGCTATTTAAAAGCGCATATATTAACTAATAAATATTTGATAACGCATACTTTGTTCAACTCGAATATGCTTTGATAACGCCTATATCTTTTATAAATATCGAATAACTTTTAATTGCGCATATTTATTTTCTTATAAACATTGATACTGCCCCATATATTTTGCGGGGATCAATATATATTTAGTTTTTTCCCATATGGCTTTCCATACTGGCCACTGAGTAAAGTATGCATGCATACAAGTGGCCAATCTAGGGAGTATGGAGCATTTCAAAGTACCCCTTCCCTCATTGTTCATACATTGTCTTGAATATTTGTTTTATTTTCCTGTTGCTCATTTGTTGTCATAGCTAATATAACTGTTTTCTTTTTAATACACTTGATTTACAGGTGTGCTATTCTTCACGTCAGACTGCATCTCTCAGCAGGCGGTAGAGGGGATAGGATGGAAGAATCATGATAAAATAAGGACTGTCAGACAAACTGCATTTGGGTTGTGCTTCGCAGTAAGTAATACTAGGTGATATTTTGTCAATGTCTTTCATTACTCCCACTCCCCCTCATGAGTTTAACACTTTGAACTAACTTATTAACATTTTATATATAATGATAATAATAGTTGGTTCTTGTATAGCGTTCTTGCATATCAGACTTGATATTCCTGGCGCTCCAGCTTGATGTACGCTAATTTGTAAGAGAGACTTGTAATATATATTCTGCTAGATTTGTGACCATTTTAAATACGCGTACCTTTTTTATTTTTACCATTATCAGGGTCCAACTTTATTTGCATGGTACAAGCTCCTCAATAGAATCTACCCTGGCTCTGGGAAGCTGACCCCTCTATGGAAGATGCTTACAGATCAAGTAAGTTGATACCTCTTATTTGTTTGTTATTTTCGACTCAATCAAGACTCTTCAATATTTTGGTTGTTTGTGGGATGTGATAGATAGATATTTTGAGAAGTTTATTGAACGAGAAAGTTAAACAGAAGGTGTGTATCTATCTTTACTATTTTACACATATATTACTTTGCAGACTACTTTTCTCTGTCTTGAGTCTAATATTAGCTACGTGGTTATCAACATGCATTTTTATTTTACTTTTAGGCATGAAGAGCATTAATGATGTGCGCCGCTTGAAAACCGTTGATGCCTTTATTTTGCACATTGTTGTTAATAAAAACATAACTCTTCAGCGATTCAACCTTTTAAAAGGGCTACTTATCTATTCTTGTAACATCCAGCATCTGTATTAATGTATGGAAAACTTATAACTTGTACAGAGCCCAAAGGACATGAGTTTCATTTGAGAGAGAGAGAGAGAGAGAGTATACACCTTTTTAGCTATCAGCAGATTAAAAAAAATAATATGTCAATACATTGCTTAGATGACATTTTTGGTATATTAAAAGTGAGTTGATATTATATACAGTAGTCTAATGCTTATAGAAGAAGGGAAATTTCAGACAAACTTGTCTTGTCCATTTCGTTCATAAACTATTTGTATTGTTTGTTTTACAGAGTGTGTGTGCGCCAACCTTTCTCGTTGCGTATTTCTCAATCGTTGCCTTGACAACAGGGAAGAAAGTGGATGAAGTCCCTGCCATTGTGAGAAGGGTGAGTATTTCTTCCTCGAAAGCATTGATGCAATCAGTAATTTCATGATTAGTATCTTCATTAGTAGTTCATCAGGATATTTAAATGCATGGGTGTCATTGATATTATCTAATTGATTATATTTGTCTAAAAGAAGCATGAATCATGATATTTATGTGAATTGATATGTGGGATAGAATATGATACGCAGTTAATCAAATAGCATTTACCTTTTGTACAGGTGTCTATTTTTTTAAACTGATCTTTCTTTGAAAATTGCCCGGGGGGGGGGGGCTCTCCTGTAAGAATCAATTTATCATTGTAGCAGCATTTTAACTATAATTGTACAATTACAATATACATGGATACTTTTTAAGTAACTTTTTATTGTATCAACAATAAACAGTAGAAAGTCATAGAGATTTACATTTTGTTCAAAAGAAGAAGAATCATTTTTATATGTGATTAGAGTTCGATGAGTTTGTCCCATTCATAACGTTTCTTTCATCCAGGATGTACCTAGTACCTATGCTAAAGGGCTGATGGTAAGTATCGATCAAATTCAGTTCAATTCTAATTTATTTAAGATCAGCTACAAAAGCGTTGAATGGTGTCAAAAGCATAAAACAGTGATAAAAGGTATAAAACTCAATGCCATGGCAACTATCATAACATTGGCTTATTCGTAATCGTGATCTATTCTATATCTACATCTAAGGTGGTACTGGACAGGACCAATTGGTATACACGTCCATACTTCCGTGGCATCGCAAACTGTCATAAAACATCACAACTTAGGGTGCAGAGTTCAAAAATCAGATAAAAAGATGCTCATAAAAATACATCGGGTTACAGATAGACATCATCTAATTTTAGATGAAGTTGAGCTACATCGACGCTCTAGCCAGCCTGTGTACATCTGCGCTTAGTGGTCATTCTGCATTTAGCTCAAAACTTTGGTGTTGAAAGACTTGGCTGATGTTGAATCTTTGATGATGGTGGCTGGTAGTTGATGTAATCATGAGGATTGTTTATCCGCTCTTTTCAAAATATTAACTATCTCATTTGAAAATATTGATTGAATAAATTATGTCTTCCATTGAAAGACATAACAAGCCCAGATGAAAAGTGAATTTGGAGATCAGCAGAAATAAATGATGTTTCGATTAGTTTATAACATTCGTGTACAAAAGACTTGTCACATATTACATTACAGTCACATGACCAATTTGAGACTTGGACGATTGAAATTCCATTTGAGAACATTTATCTTTTTGTAATATCATTTGTACTTTAAAAAAAAAAACTTGCTTTGAAGGGTACATGGCCATTTGTTTTACATGATGACTTACCTATGTCTCTCTTTTCTCCTTTACAGATCTGGCCGGCAATACAACTTGTCAATTTCTACTATGTGCCTCTTCTACACAGGTATTTAAAGGATCTTAGTATTACAACTTCCTGAATCTCTTTTAATAAAAATGAAAACCTTGCATTTAGCCTAGCTCAGTCTGGCACCTAAACTATGTGTATGAAATTATTAGCTCAATAATCTTATTAAAATGAAAGGAAAAATAAATATGCCCTGTGTTCCGCAATGTTGATGCATTGCACAATTGCCAACAATAGACACATTATTAAGAAAAAACAAGATATATGCTTTGGCAAAGAGAGGTAAAAATAATTTGTTCAAAGATATATTATATTAAGGTTTGGGTCTGGGAAAAAGAGGGTTTTTTTAAGGGTAAAATTCTTGAAGTTTGAGAAGTGTTGAAAAAGGGCTATATGGAAAAGTAGTTGCTGTGCAATATTGGACCCAAAAAAAACCGTCTTCTGTTATCTCAGTCTCGCAAATCCTCTTTCTTTTGTTCCATCTTTCTCTTTTTCTCTTCTCACTCATTCCCTCTAATCTCTTTCACAGAGTGATGGTTGTCAATGTAGTTAATATTGTGTGGACCACCTATTTAAGCTGGAAAGCAAACGCTGCCGAGAATAGAATATGACATCCACCTCTAGACCTACCTACACTGATCTCAAGACATATTCAAATATAATGATGCACGGTGATGAAAAGATGTACTACCAGTATGTGCCCATGTACGTTGTGATTCCAAGATTTATTGAGATGGTGTTTTTTTTGGGATGGCCATAGCTCAAAGGAAAACTCCACCTTGATCATGATCCAACATGATATTCACAAGCCCAAATCGCCAGTTGGTCAATTGTTTTACAGAATGCCGTAACTAATTATCTTCATAAGTGTTAACAATGGTTCATAATTTCATCATATTTGTTTGAATTTCAACATTTTATTCATTTATATCTATTTACCGAGGTGAGATTTTCCTTTATGTTTTGCAAGCCATCTGTACTCTCGAATTATATGAATGATTCAGAATGATACAGTATTGTATTTACACCCTGTTTTAGAAAATTGTTGTTGTATTTCATACATTTTCATACTTTTCTTTTTAGATACATGTAAGATGAGATTTCCTTTTGCGGTTTGGAAGCCATTTATACTCTCCATAAAATAACTAGGAATGATACCAAATTACGGTTTGTGTTACACATGGTTCTAGCTATCCTGGGGATCAGAAAAAATGGTCAGGGAAACTTGAGAAATATAACTCGGATCATGGACCAATCTGGGAATTTTATTGACCGAAGAAGAAATTACTTGGTCTCTTTAATGTTGTCTTGCATTCAAACAGCTAGTTTATCCACTAGGTGACTGGTTTTCATACATAAATAGAAATAAATATCCTGAAATTTGGAAATTGAATCAGGGAAATTTAACATTTTGTTTTCATGAAATGCTGGGACCTTTTACAGACAGGTCAAGTTTTAGTACCTTTTATTTTTATTTGATTTGAACTCAGTACAATAGATGAGCGATTATTCATTCAATTGTATTTTTTAGATTGATTTATCTGATGTCCAGTGTAAGTTCATATTGTCAACCAATCTTCATTGGTGTGCTCTTCATTAGTCCAAACTAATTCATAAGACTTGTCTAAAATGAACAGCTTTAAGATGTCACAAATACACATTCCTTGAAAGGGTAAAAAATAAAAACAAATTTGCAAATGTTATGCCTACTGTTCTATGTAAATTGTGTGTGAAAGAAAATGGTGGTGACCAGAAAATTACCTCTTTTTTTGCTCAAAGGGGGTGGGGGGAGTATAAAAAAGCGCTCACTATGCCACCCCCCCCCCCCGATATTCGATTTAATATTCGATTTTTAAGAGAATTCGATATATCCTTGAAACTTAAAGGTAAAGACCAGTATTGGCAACGCCCCAATTTCAAAAAATGAAATGGAAGCTCTCATTACCAATCATGTGAAAGAATATGTTTTGACTAATACATGATGATAAAAAATTTGCCGGGAAACCGCCTACTAATTCATATATTTGGTAAACTTATCTCTCTCATGGTCTGGTGAGAGAGATAGGGTAGTCCCATATACATCTTTCTGTGTATAGTGCTTGTAACTTTACGAAGAATGGGCCAAATTTCTTATCATTTTGATGATTCCAGAACCTTGCAGATGCTAGATGCTAGATGATCAACCTTTTCTGATCGATTCCACAACGTTTCTTTCACAATGCAATCGCATGACCATTACTGGTCTTTACCTTTAATGTGAGGGTCTGAGGGATATTTGAAAGAATGGTCAACATTTATAATTAATTTCTATTGTAGCTACATGTCTGCAGAAGCCACAGACAGGACAAACGTTTTCCAGACACATTATTCAAACATTAGCTTTTGTGTAACTCACTTATTATTTGTTTACCATTACGATCTGCAAATCTCACACCATTCTAAGCAAACAGACACATACATAAGAATTTGGTGTATAAATGTGTACATTTTGTATATTTAGATGTATTTGCCAGCAATGGTAACTGCACACTCGCGTTGAAGAAGTAACCATGAACTTGTTTGGTTGAGCTGTAGTAGCCTGTGGTACGTCAACTGGGGCGTATAGTTTCGGGGATCTGCTCATTTGAGAAACTTCCGAGGTTATGTCAACATAATGGTCCTTCCACACATATCTCTGCCCTGGGGAAAATAAAATGGAAATCAAACAGATTATATCAATATCTGAATCAACACATAGATATAGATTATTTTCACAAAGTTATACATGTCAGTGCAAAGTCAGCTTGAGCGCCTGTACCGACACAATGCCCTCCACTCCCGGCCCCCCCCCCCCCCACACACTCCGTGAACGGAGGGATACCATGCGTGTTCCCAAACTCTCCGGCTCGAATCAAAAGAAAAAGGTCTACCCGTATTGACTTTGCACACCGGACTTTTGCTGAAAAGGGGGGGGGGGGGTCGCTGGGAACACGCATATGCGTACCCTAGATAACAGTCACTGAGTGGGGGGGGGGGGGGGGGCGAGCCTCCACTACTCACTCGCAACACCCAACACTGGTTCGCAAAAATGCCAGTGCCGACTCCGTTATGTTTGCTGTGGCCGTACCAATTTTGTCATCGCACACTCAAAAGAAAAACATCAAAACCACTCTTGCCTTTCTGGTCATCTTTTGTGAGAGCGCAGCGAGCGAGCTCTATAGGGGAAATTGATGAAAAAGCGGGGGCTCTAAATCGCCTTGAATCAGAGGGGCTTGTTATGGAGAAAGGCAAAATCGGCACTGTTAAAAGGGTAAAGGACAGTTATTAGAAGAAATAAAACGTGCTCGTGGCAAAGTAAAAAGGGCAATTATTAGAGATGAAAATGGCACTTTTTGCATCTGAAAAGGGACACTTAACAGAAATGAAAAAGGGCACGTGTAAGAATGGAAACGGGGAATCTGTTGAAGTATTAGCTAAGGGCACCTATCAGATTTTAATAAGGGCATTAATCAGAATTTAAATGTATAGACAAGTTTTGGAAACACCCCCCTCTCAAAAAAAGAAATGGAAGCTCTTATTAAACCAATCATGTAAAAGAATGTGTTTTGACTATTAAATACGTGATGATACAAATTTTGCTGGATGCACTTCAACATTGAATATTTGGGCATATATTTCTCTTTTTTGCGAATTGAGGTTGAAGTATTACCATCTAAACCTATGAAGGCAATATTTAAACATTATTGAATTGATATTTTGCACCCAGAATTCTTGAACCGCGACTTTACCATTACCGGTCTTTACCTTTAAGGGGTATTTTGAAAAGGGGGAGGGGCTCATACCTCATGGGCTCATATATAAAAGGAAAAAGGGCACTAATTATCCGAAGGAAATATATAACTTATTAGAAAGGGAAAGGGGCATGTGTCAAAATAAAAGAGGCACCCAGAAAATCATGTCATCTCAGCAACATTTGAAAATCACTAGTATCGAATTGAAAATAAACCACGCTTGAATTTTAGTTGGAGTTCAACTTTACTATTAGGCGATTCCCCCACCTCCCCCCTCTCGGATTTCTTCTTGGGATGCGCTATGATGCAGATATAATTATGTAGGTGCAATTAAGCACATACATTATGGCTTGCCTAAAGGCGGCGCTCCCGGAGGGGGGGGGGGCACAATGCCCCTTCTTTTTCAAGTACTCCAAAAGTGTCCCCTTTTACATAAGAAAAAAAAATCTTCTTTTAATATAGGTTAAACCCTCTTGCTCTAAAAGGATTGCCGCTATTCATTTCTGATAAGTGTCTCTTTTATTTTGACACGTAAGTACGTGCCCCCACTTCCTGCAAATCCCCCCCCCCCCCCCCCCCCCCCCCTCGTACGTAACCGGATCGTGAGCTGTCTAAAAAGTAACAACCAGCCAACATAATACTTACGTACTTCTGGTTTCCCATGGTTAGTCTCATCAAGTAAAAAGTGGTTTGATGGTAAGCTGATTGATGCTCAATATTTTGTAGTGTTATTTTCTTCAGTCTTAAATGTTTCCGTGTGAAAACTGGAGATATCGAAACATCGTTTATTAATAGTGTGGTCCCATATACTGAACTTTGTGTAGTGTCTGAGCGGGGCCGGAGCACTGATCTCTACGGAAAAATCATTTTTCCGTAGGGGCCTAGAGATCAGTGGGCCGGAGGCGTATTTTTTATTTACACGGCAGCGAGGGGAATTTCTCGATTAATCCCAATAATAATAAATAATAAACAATATTTATAAGGCGCTTAGAGTCTAATACTGGTGTCTCTAAGTCTAAGCGCACCATATTCTGACTTTAATAACAATTAGACTTCTATTTACCAAAACTTATAATAAACACAACTTATACATCTGTTCTTTATTCAATAAATCATGCAAACCAATGAAACCTGCTCGCGTAGAGTCTAGACTGGACCGAATCGGAGTACGAGTACCTATCAGTGTAGTGCAGTGTATTATAAAGGGAATTGTACTTAATATGTAGATCTAGAGAAGTGTAGTGACTTGAACTTTAAGGTCACAACTGTTTATCAACATTGTAAATAGTCAGCATTTTAAACATTCCTTTTGTTAGTACTTTCCGTTCAGCCAGCTTCAATAACAATAACAATTTACAGCTGCACATTCTACACATTCTCTGAGTTAATTTCATCCATGGGACCACCCAGCAACAAGAGTGTTATTTTAGTTAGGGTCTACTCCAATCGGACCGCACCTTATTGTTATAATAAGCCAATCATCACACTTTTAACGCACTTGGAAAAGTCTCCACACACAGATTTTACTCACTTCTCCTGTGTTCAGTTTCATCAATCGGACGTGTTTTATAGGAAGTTTTTGTATTATACAACAAGCGTTTTTTCATTGGTTTTCACATTAATAGCGAGTTTCATCATCATCATCATTTTATTTGAGGACTGAATCGCAAATTAGATTTGTCTTCTATTTAATTTCGGGAAGTGTGAACTGTAAGGTTGTGTGCCTTCATCATATTCACGTTTCGCTAGCTAGCTAGTCGCGCTCCACGTGCTGATTCATCACTTCGCTATATCGCACTATTCCTCCTATTCCTTGGCCACTTACCAACAACACAGAGTACAGTACATCGACAACACAAGTCATATTCAGTACATACGCAGGCTAGGCAGGCAGGCACTACAGACTAGACTTTCCGCGAGCGGTTTCATTGGAATTAATCGAGCTTTTCCCCCTCTCGCACGAACGCGGAAGCTTCGATGTTTCATTAAATTATTAGAGAAAGGAGACGATTTGTTGTACCGTTGTACCGTTCTCGACTTTTTCCCCTCGCTGCCGTGTAAATAAAAAATACGCGGCCGGAGTGTATACCCGGACGTTATCGCGATCGCGGTACCCCTCACGACTCGCACAACATGGGACGGTGGGAGACTACTAGCGATTTTGGTACAATTACAAATGTGCCATTATGTGGTACAACTACTTTCTCCCCTATTTAGATCTAATAAGGTTAACAGCCGTTTTTCTATATTTAGATCTAATTTTCTGATTCATAAATCAGACATAAGAAATTATATAGATCTAGCCTAGACTGTCTACATTTCTTTCTGAATCTTATACAATTCATAAAATTGTCATTCTTAATTCCAATGGCAAAATTTACGGGCTTACTTTACAGTTACACAAATCTATCCAATTTCATTTCTGAACCAGTGAGCTGTACCATTCAATGTATTTGAACTGTAATCTATGACATGACCCAGCCAATATCAGAGACCCTCGAAATGCGTGACGTCAAGCCTAATGCGTGACACTTGGTAGCTCCGAAATATATTTCCGGTTCAACGTACCAGAAGGCCAAACGATCAATCGTTTGATATTGGGTTTATGAACATTAAAATATCAATGGTTCAGCTGGGCTTTAATTAATATTCATTACCGGTATACTCAAATCAAGATAGCTGACAACGAATCATGTTAACTACAAATCTTTCTTGAAAATAACATTGTGTTTAGGAGCTAAATAGTAAATGAGCAAGCTATCGTAAGTCAAAGTACATATTGCAGCTTTTGCTATTTTTTACATTAAAATTGAGTGTAATATCTAGTGATATTGCAGCCAAAGTGGATATATTAAGATGTAAGGAGTGAAAACACCTTATCTCGGTCCAGCCAAATCGACCCATTCCTTCCACTCACTACCCCATACAATGTCAGTGGAGCCAGATATAGTCTCAGCAGAACAAGTTCTGTCAATATCAGAGACTGAAGCTTTCAGTCTATGTTTAATACTGTTTTCACACTGGCAATATTTTGCTTAACCCCGTACTATAGGTGGGGTTAAGGGGGGGGGGGGTCTTAGCCCCACCTATAGTACGGGGTTAACTAACCCTGCAAAATAGCAGGGCTAACTCCGCAATTGTGGTGCTAACTCCTGCTAACCCCGCAATTGCGGTGCTAAGCAAATGAATGAGAACAGAAACGAAAAATAGTCCGGTACTACGCAATGGAGCGTATCGCAGCTGGCCAAATGCAAAGTATGTCCAATAATAACATTCACGATATCCGGGGTTAACGAAATGCAATGAGAACAGCGGGAATTTTCTTATTCCGGAATAGGCGCTAGTACAGGACTAAAAACAGCGAGTGTGAAAAGCCAAAAAAAATAGTCCGGGGTTAAGGATAGTACGGGGATAAGCAAAGTACGGGGTTAAGCAAAACCAGTGTGAAAGAGTATAAGAGTACTTTTGAGAATCAATGGAAGGTGTCTTAAATTTTTGTATTCCACACAATGCTGCCTGCTTTGAGTGATGATTGAACATGTTGAAGTTGCTGTGGATTAGTTAACATTCTGTTTCTGTCTCTAGATCTTCTTTGAGGCTTGGTATCCTGCCAAGAGTTCTGTTAATGCATCACTGTCTATCAAAGTGGAATGGCTTCAATATGGAGAGCATATCTAGAACTGCTTCATAAGTATCCCTTTCGAACACAAGCAGTAACATCAGGTAAATCAGCTCTTCATTTTGTTTAGATTTAAAGTGTTGCTTAAAGATAAAGACCAGTTATGGTCATGCGATTGCAGTGTGAAAGAAACGTTGTGGAATCGATTAGAAAAGGTTGATCATCTAGCATATAAGTGTGAACTGCAAGGTTCTGGAATCATCAAAATGATAAGAAATTTGTCCCAGTCTTCGTAAAGTTACAAGCACTGTACACAGAAAGATGTATATGGGACTATGCACACGTGCTCGACACATTCGTTTATCTCTCACAGTCCAATAGATAAACTAGTTTACCAAATATATCAATTAGTAGGCGGTTTCCCGGCAACATTTTTATCATCATGTATTAGTCAAAACATATTTTTTCACATGATTGGTAATAAGAGCTTCCATTTCATTTTTTGAAATTTGAGCGTTTCCAATACTGGTCTTTACCTTTAAATTGTCTCTCTAGTGAGGTGAAGCGATGCTCAGGTATACGGTAACTGTTGTTCTACTTTTGTTGAGGAGGGGGGGGGGGAGAGAGTGTATCATAATTCCGCTACAGTGGTCAATGACCATAGCATTACACTTGAACTTAAAGAGCAGTTTTATTTACTGTTATGCATGAATACAAGTGGCCCATCTAGGGATGGTGGATCATTTCAAAGTACCCCTTCCCTCATTGTTCATGCATTGTCTTGAATAATTTTAATATTTTTGTGTTGCTCATATTTCGTTGTCATAGCTAATATGATTATTTTTGTTTTAATACGCTTGATTTACAGGTGTGCTATTCTTCGCTTCAGACTGCATCTCTCAGCAAGCGGTTGAGAGGAAAGGATGGAAGAATCATGATAAATTAAGGACTCTCAGACAAAGTGCATTTGGGTTTTGCTTTGCAGTAAGTAATCCTGGGCGATATTTTGTCAATGTCTTTCATTGCTTTTTCTCCTCCTGGATTTAACACTTTGAAATATCTTTGTAACATTTAAGATGTTGCTTATATAAGTATCAGCTTGCAAGGTGATGTAGATATACTGTACTAAGGCTTACGGTTGCACCATGTGAGAGGGGGGGGGTGATCAGGGAGTCTTGAAAAGTACTGTCAGTAATCTTTCTTGCTTGACTGTGTGTGTAGTCCTGAAAAGGAATGTTGGTAATCTTTCTTGAGCTTATAGTTCTAAAGAGATCTATAGCGCCGGTTGGAGAGGATGGGTAGTAGGAGGGGCTCAACTTATCAAACAGTTAATTTGACTATCCGTCGTCAGGATTTCGCACACTCAAGAAAGAAAAATTACTGACAGTCCTTTTCAGAACTCCCCAGTCCTCCCCCTCTCTCACATGGTGCAACCATACGCCTACTGTATAACATGTAAGAAGTATGCTAATTATTGTGTAAGAGAGACTTGTATATAGATTCTGCTAGATTTGTGACCATTTTAAATCCACGTACCTTTCCTCTTACCATTATCAGGGTCCATCTTTATTTGCATGGTACAAGCTCCTCAATAGAATCTACCCTGGCTCTGGTAAGCTGACCCCTCTATGGAAGATGCTTACAGATCAAGTAAGTCGATCATATACGGTTCCTCTTATTTTTTTTATTTTTTTTTCACTCAATCAAAACTCTTCAATATTTTGGTTGTTTGTGGGATCACTGGGATGTGATGGAGATATATTTTGATTAATTTATTGAAAGAGAAAGTTAAAAAGAAATGTCAGTATCCATCTTTATTATTGTTCGCATATATTACTATGCAGTATACTTTTCTCTGTCTTGAGTTTCATATTACCTACATGGTTATCAACATACAATTTTTTTTCATTTTTAGGCATAGAACGTAGATGATGTATGTTGCTTGAAAATCATGGATGCATTTATTTTGCACATTGTTGTTAATAAAACATAATCATTCAGTGATTCAACCTTTTAAAAAGGCTACTATCTATCCTTATAACAGCCTGCATCTGTATTAATGTGTGGAAAACTTAGAACTTGTAGAGATCAAGCCCTGAGGGCATGAGTTTCATTTTAGACAGAATTCATCCTTTGGGCGATCAGCAGAAATATTTCTTTACAAAATTCTGTCAATACATTGCTTTGATGATATTTTTGGTTCTTTTAAAGTGTATTGATATAAAACAGTCTAATGTTTATATAAGAACAGGCATTTCAGATATACTTTATCTTATCTGTTTTGTTTATGAACTATCTTGATTGTTTGTTTTACAGACTGTGTTTCCGCCAGTCTTTCTCACAGTGTATTTCTCAACTGTTGCCTTGACAACAGGGAAGACATTGGATGAGGTCCCAGCCATTTTGATAAGGGTGAGTATTTCTTCTTCGATAGTATTGATGTAATCAGTAATGTCATGATTAGTATCATCATCATCGGGGCTGCACCCCTCAGCAAATAGTACTATTGGAGTCACCTCTTGCGCATAGTTTTAAACAGAACCTCTCAAGACAGTGTATATTTGTATAATATATATTTTTCTATAAAAAACATGAATCATAATATTTATGTTAATTGATATGTGGGGATAGAATATAATATATGATAGGCAGTTAATCAAATAGCATTTTACCTTTTTGTACGGTTGTCTTAATTTTTGTTAAACTGGTCTTCCTTTGAGCCTCTCCTGTAAGAATCCACTAATCATTGTGGCAGCATTTTTACTATACTTACTATATATTACGTCCAATGTTACTAGTACATCAATTTATAAATGAATACAAGTAACTTTTTATTGTATCAACAATAAACAGTAGAAAATCATGGATATTTACATTTTGTTTAACTCTTAAGCTGCCACCCATACAATGCACCCAATGCCACAGTGCTAATCCCTATTGTGCCAGCCACAAATCTCCTGTGTGCCATGTAAATTTAAGGGTTGGTTCAAGTGCATGTTATTTAAATCTTTACAAAAAATAAATTGCTGAATTACTCGCGAAAATCCAATCTCACTGTTGTATACAAAGATGCGTAATCCAAAGCTGATAATCTGATGCACGCGATGGTACTTTCAATAGCGCTGCAAAAGCACTCAGCACGGTGCAATGGGCATGAACAATAACTGTTATTACATATGCGCGCTAGCGTGCACAAAGCAGAGTAGCGGTGGCTCGCTAGCTTGAACGTAGCAGTCAATCGATAGCGCGCTCGCGTGCACAGAGCACTATAACAATAGCGCGCTAGCAGTCTCATGGCAGGATATGAGTTAAAAGACATTTCATGAGTTCCATAACAATTTATTTTAATATGTGATGAGAGTTCTATGAGTTTGTCCAATTCATTTGTTTCTTTCTTTCTTCCAGGATATACCTAGTACCTATGCCAGAGGGCTGATGGTAAGTATCGATCAAATTCAGTTCAATTCTAATTTAAGAACAGCTACAAAACTGTTGAATGGTGTCAAAAGCATACAACAGTGATAAAGGGTATACTACTCAATGCCACAACTATCAACAAATTGATCAAAACATTGGCTCATTCGTAATAGTGATCTATTGTATGATGAAATCATGAGGATGGTTTATTTGCTGGACTCATAATATATATGATTAACTTTCTCATTTGAAAATTTTGATTTAAAGAGAAGGTTGAGTTGTGGGAAGAGGTGAAAAATAATTTGTGAGCGTAATAATTCTTATTATGCAAGTGTGGAAGATCATCAGATAGGACATGTTCCCTGAAAAGCGTGGCTCTTCAAATGCCTTTATATTCTACATATGTCAGTAACATCGTAAAACTCGGGGGTAGGATTTTTACGCCACGTGTTCGTGTAGTCCTATATACATCTTTCTGTGTACAGAGTTTGTAACTTTACCAAGACTTGGCCAAATTTCTTATCATTTTGATGATTCTAGAACCTTGCAATACACACAAATTCTTATATGCTAGATGATCAACCTTTTCTGGTCGATTCCACACCGTTTCTTTCACAATGCAATCGCATGACCAGAACTCAACTTCATCTTTAATATGTCTTGTAATGAAAGACATAACAAGCCCAGATGAAAAGTGAATTTGGAGATCAGCAGAAATAAATCATGTTTCAAGTTTTTAAACACATATGTAAAAAAAGAGTTGTCACATGTTACATTACAGTCACATAAGACTTGGACAAATGAACTTCCATTTGCAAACATTCATCTTCTTTTATTATTTGTACTTTTTCTAAAACCATGCTAAGTTTTTCTTGTCTAATTTTCATGTTTTTACTAAAAGCAATTTGCTATGAAGGGTACATGGCCATTTGTTTTACATAATGATTTATCAATGTCTCTCTCTCTTTTGTCCTTTACAGATCTGGCCGGCAGTACAACTTGTCAATTTCTACTATGTGCCTCTTCTACACAGGTATTTAAAGACATCGTTTAACAATGTTAAATCTGAGATGCATGGCCCTACGTGTTATCAGTGTCTGTGATGTGGTGTAATATTGAAGCCCTATATAAATTGCGCTTCAAAAGGATCATACAGTGCCTCAAAACGGTGAAAATCTTTGAGTGACCGGTTTTTACCATACTCACTTTCCCCAATAGACTGTAGTGTTATCAAAACCGTTAGGAAAACGAAAAATGAAATTTTGACTTCCAATCATAAATATCTTGATAATCAGACAGGCGATCAACTTGGAAAAGTCGTGGGGTTCCTGACTGACCTAAAGGTTTATAATTATCATTGCAGCATGAGCTAAATCAAGGATTTTGTTTCAGAATCTGAGACAAAGATACCCAATCCTTTTAAAGGATCATAGTATTATGACTTCCTGAATCTCTTGTGTAAAAAAAAAAATTAAACATGGTTTAGCCTAGCTCAGTCTTGCACCCAAACAATGTGTATGAAATTATTAGCTCCATAATTGTATTAATGAAAGAAAAAAAAAATGTACCGTGTGTTTTGCAATCTTGAAGCATTGCACAATTGCCAACCATGGACACATTATTGCAAAGAAAATACTAGATATATGTTTTGGCAAAAACAGGTTTTATATTAGGGCTTGGGTCTGGGATAGGAATGTGTTTGTTTAGGGTTAAAGTTTAGAAATTTGAGAAGTGGTTGCTGTAGTATGTGACATAGAATCCTCTGAGTGGTGTTCACATGAACTGCGTAATATTGGACAAATATCATTTTTCTCTCACAAACCCTCTTTCTTTTGCTTTGCCTTTCTCCTTTTCTCTTCCTCACTCATTCTCTCTCTTCTCTTTCACAGAGTACTGGTTGTCAATATAGTCTCTATGATGTGGAACACCTATTTAAGCTGGAAAGCAAACGCTGCACAGAGTAGTATATGACATTTACCTCTAACTAGATAGACCTATGTACCTGCACAAATTTCACTTATATTCAAATGAACAGATGTACTACCAGTATGTGCCCATGTGATTCCAAGATTTATTGAGGTATTTTTTTAGATGGCCATAGCTCAAATGAAAACTCCACCTTGATCATGATCCAACATGATATCCACAAGCCCAAATTGCCAGTTGGTCTATTGTTTTGTAGAATGCCATAAACTAATTATCTTCCTTAAATCTTAACAATAGCTCATCATTTCATCATTTTTGTTTCATTTGTTAACATTTTTATTTTTAAAAATCCATTTACGAAGGTGAGATTTTCCTTTATGTTTTGCAAGCCATATATCCTCTCAAATTATATGAATGATTCAGAATGATACAGTATTGTTTTTACACCCTGTTTTAGAAAATGTTTGTTGTATTTCAAGTGAACTTGATTGATAAATGAATAAACATTTATTTTTAAATACATGCAAGATTAGATTTCTTTTGGGGGTCGGAAGCCATCTATACTCTCCATATAATAACTAGGAATAATGGTTTTTGACACACATGGTTTACAGCTGTCTTGGGAATCAGAACAAATGGTCAGGGAAATTTGAGAAATATTACTCAAATCAGGGAAAATTCAGGGATTTTTGGGGCCAAGTAGAAATTACCTAGTCTCTTTTATGTTGTCTTGCATTCAAACAGTGTATCCACTAGGTGACTGGTTTTCAATATGGAAATATTTTTTAATAATTATCATAACATTTGGAAATTTAAGGAGGGAAATTTCACATTTTGTTTTAATGAAAAGCTGGGAACTCTTACAGTGAGGTGTTGAACTCAGTACAATAAATGAATGATTATTCGTCAATTGTGTTTTTTGTATTGATTCATCTGATGTATGTTCATATTGTCAACCAATCTTCATTGGTATTGTCTTCATCAGACCAAACTAAATTCATAAGACTAATCTAAAATGAACAGCTTTAAGATTTTACAAATACACATTCCTTGAAAAAGGATAAGATTTAAAAAAGATTTGCAAATGATATGCCTACTTTTCTATGTAAATTGTGCTTTGTGTGTGAAAGACTGAAAGTTCTTGTACTACTTTTGCCTGGTATTTTACACATGTATGTTGAGTTTTAAACAATTATTTTACATCATTTGCACATAGATGGTTTATACATGTAGCTGATAGAGTTCTTATGCTGTTGTTATCATGCTTTTATGTCTTTATATTGTTTCACATACTTTGGGAGGTCCTTTAATAAAAGTAGGATATAATTGATGTCAATAAGGAGTACAGTGTGAAATTGTATTTTATTTGAAAATGTGCAATGTAATTGAGATGTTTATGAAATGAAGACACAATTCATGTTGAGAATGTAACTACAGTGATGTAAATGACTTGCCAAGGCAACCTAGTTTTTAAGTTATCTTGTAATTCTACATGTTTTTACTTGATGATCAGGGGTGTTGCCTGACCAACTTTAAGGAGGGAGAAGGGGGGTGTTAGACCATACATATTACCCAGCAAGTTCGCTGACAATTTATGATTAAGCGAAGGTATACATGTATACATCAAGAGGTATACATGTATGATATATATATGATATGTTGAGACACTTTCAAACATTATAGTACTTCTGCCCGATGCAGAGCTAGTAAAGTATTTATTACCCATATAGGAAAATGAATAATTTGCAACATGTGTTCATTCTATTATTTTTTATGAAATGCCAGAATTGTAAGCCAGAGAAATGTATGCAAATATATTCAGGTTGGTTTTCGTGTCAGGTTTATCAAAATGTAACGAGAGGTAATAATCTGATGTGGGGTTCTGTAATCGCAAGATCAATGTAAACTGTTTCATTAAAAAAAGTGTAATAGATCAGTTGTACAGGCATGTTAGCCAGTGTGTTGAACTTGTATCTCTTAAATATAGTTCTCACTCAATGTGCTAGCAATACTGTTGTATAAAACTGTGTTCCATGAAGCAAATTGTAAAACAATGAAATTCATTGTACTTTTGTTTCGCCATCTGCTTATCACAATTACCTTGTCCATGTACATTGTGTTTGAATTGGTGTGCTGCAGTTGCTCTAGTACAGTGGAATCTAGTGGAATCTTATTATCTCAGAGCTCTGTGTGACCAGCAGAATTAACTTGTTATATTTAAGAGTTTGTTATTACACTGGTCTTTTATATATAACCAAGTTTCACTGTACAAAGTTACTTTTATGTGAATAACCAATCATTTAGTGTATGCCATATAATACTGTACTGTGTATGATATCAAATTTGGAAGTACATGTATTTTAAAGATACTATGTCCCTTTTGCAGCCAAATTATGTAGAACTTTGCAGGAATTATGAATGTTTTGTATGTCCTATCTTTGGTAATAACATACATAAAATGAGCTGTAACAGGTACATGAGCATTTTCCTACCCACTACTTGTAACAGCCAAAATTAAACTGATTGAATCATTGTGCAGCACAAAACGAACAACCATTTGGTAAAAGGGTCTGAAAATCGGACTATTACTTAGGTGATTGCAATCACTTAAGTTCATTCGACAACTATTGGTCGTTATTTTCCAACTAAACCCCATTTTGAAGCCTTTTGTTTTGAGGAAAGTTCTAAATTAGTATTCTCTTTCAAATGCCGTTGGAATTTAACCTTTTCATTTTTTTGGCATGCAAATAGTACCTTTAAGTCTATGTAGAGTCAGGGTGAAATTAACAGCTTGAGCCAAGAATGATCCTGTATCTTTGTATAGGACCATAAAGGTTTCTAGAAAGGTATGAATGTATGAATATTTTTACACTAAATATTTATATTGTGGTGAATTTAAATAAACAATGTATTTTCATAACATCAAAATAAAATGTTTTAAGAATGTCATTTTTTCTTCAAAATTGGGCTTTTGGTAGAATAAACATTCAGAAGAAAAGCTTGGTAGATAATTTACAAGAAACTTAGAAAGTGCTATGATTTATGAAGGAGATTTCAAGTTTGATAAATTTTCCAATACTTTATCCATTTTGGTAACTCACATAATCTAGAAAGGGAATTGATTCACCCCCCCCCCCCCCCACTCTACTTATTGATAAGAGCCCATTAACACACAAGGCAGTATACCGTTCAAAGAAATTAAAGCAGTGGGGAAATGAGCAGTGATGAGCACAAGTGTCGGCTTTCAGTATATTACACACTATGAACCTTAATATGAATGAAACGTTCAATTAAGAAATAAGTAAATAAGTAAACACATTATACATGTAAACTACCTGATTTGAAAGCTAATAAAATAGAAAGACGGGTGAGTAATGTGATTGGGAGTTTATGCTCTTTATTATACATTATTGTCAGTAATTGTATAAACTTATTGTACAATTCATAGCTTCATGAACATATACAATGTATAATGCATGGTCTTCGATACACAAGTTCAATTTTTGTTTTGTTCAGAATTAAATAAAGTTTTCCAGTAAATTGTGGAAGAAGGGAAGAAAAGAAAAGAAAAGAAAGGGGAAATAAAGTGTCAAAAGGATTATGGGGGATCAGAAACAATGAAAAGGAAAGATCTAATCATCTGTATACTAAATGATAAACATACACAACTTAATTTGACTCTATTGTTTTAAAATTTGAGAGTGTGAGGGGGTAAAATAGCTTCTTTACAAAGATCCTTCTGGCACCAAGGTAAAAATGATTTTTTTTTTCTTCTTCAGATTCCATGTATTAACAGAAGATTAAAAACAACTGCAATCGTGGTATCTTATTATGTATAAGGTGAAATGAAGGTGTAAACTATCTCTGTTTTCCTGTTATTAACCCAATAGCTACTAAATTCTCTCATCCCCATAGGTTTTATAAAGGGACTACCCGGTTCCCACAGCTAATGAGTTAAACAAAGCCAATATCTCTAAAGAACCTCATATCTCATGTCCTTTCTCTACCACAGGTAACATTGCTCTTCTTTCATAAGTTGGTCTTCAAATGCCTCGTCTTTGAACATAAGGCAGCAAATATCAAAACAAGAATTGGCCTTGAATTCCTCTCTTCTCATGTCAGTTCACTGCACATCGTCCACTTCCAATAGGTTGTCTACCACGTAGATCTTTGGGCGCCTGACATGTTTCCTATATCAGCGATGGATCTCCATACGATACGACTGAGTCTCCATCTCTTGAGAACAGATCTTGGTCTTGAAGTGATGGCACATCGATCACGTATCCTAACATGGCAGCTGTCTCGAGGGAAAGTTGCTATCTCTTGATCTGCAACCTCCTGCAAGAAGAGATATGAGAAATGGTCAGAACCAAACAAAAATATTTCAAAGCATGGCTGTGTTACAATATTAGCAATCTTAATAAGATCTATATGCATTGTATGGGCAGCAAAGACCAGCCCTGGTTGTAATACTAAGTTTTCACTAAAAATATCACTTTCTCCTTTCTTCTTGCATTATCAAAATTTGTATTCTTGGCAAGATTGACTGCTTATGGCACTGGAAGTTTAACCATACATTTAGACAATACCTCACACATTCAATCACATCCCATCATCCCAAACTAGAAGTATGGTATATTGTAGAGTGACCTACTCGTATCTCATCTGGGAGGATGGTGTTCTTGCGGATACAGTTGAAGCGTAGTCTGTCCCTGTGATGTTCTTTGACAAGTCGTCTTCTCTTCACATCTCTAATCATCTTCCAATCAGCATAGTATGACCTGGTAAACATGGCACCCACAGCAGTCAAAGGGCTACTGCACTGTTGGTTAAAATAGAATAGAAATAAAAAGTCGCTAATCCTACTTATTAACTCCTTTATTTTTCTTTATAGGTATGGTGGTGTGACCAAAGTTCGCGCGTGACCTAAGTTCGCTATCTCAAAAATCAGTAAGATTACGAAAATCTGATATCACCAATGGAAAGAGGAACATAAAATTACTCAGAAGTGAAATTTTCTTTGGAATTGGGTACGAAATTGTGAAAATATTGACAAAAGATCGGCAAATTTTGCAATATTTTGCATCCGTTCCGAAAAATGATCAACTTACCGATAAGGGTCTGAAAATCTTCAATTTGAGAGCAGATTTCCTCAAAATTGTAAGTAAACAGTGGTACTAACTGATTGTATGATATCTTGCCTTGCAAATTATGATATTACCTTATTTTTGATGGATCACACTTTTTGATAAATCAACTGTAAACCCCCGTGCGTGAAGTTAGGTCTCGTTGTTTTTATGACTTTTTTGGATGCAGCGCGCACGAACGATCGGACATCAAATTTTTAGATCGCGATATCTCCGAAATCCTTCGACGATAAAATTTTCTAGTTGAACTAATCTGTAGTTAAAAACTTCGCCGTCCCTTTGGTTATAATTGAAATCAATAAATTTGTGTAGAATATGAGAAATCGTAGTTCGAATATCACATTTTGTAATATGTTCTAAAATGTGCGCGAACTTTGGTCACCCCTTCATACTATGTCCCTTTTGCAGCCAACCTCAAATTCTGTAGAACTTTGCAGGAATTATGAATATGTCATGTATGTCCTATCTGTGAAATTTAAACGTTAGCAGTGTCCTCATATTCAAATTATGCAAGGAAACCTGTTTACTTGCTAGACTTCACTGTCAGACACTATTGAGTGACTGACTGGCTTTTTTTCTTCTTTGGTAATAACATACATGAAAAGAGTTGTAAAGGGTACATGAGCATTTGTCTACATCAATAACCCACTTCTTGTGATGGCCAAGATTAAACTGATTGAATGTTTGCGGAGCATAAAACGTATGACCATTCGGTACAATTGTCTGAAAATCAGACTATTACTTTTGGGCTCTATAGCTCTAAAGTCGATTTGACAACTAATAGTCATTATTTTCCCACTTGAAGACATTTTCAAGCCCCACTTTTTGTAGGGAAGTTCTAAATTATTATTATCTTTCAAATGCAGTTGGAATTTAACTTTTTCATTTTTTTGGCCTGCAAATGGGACATAGGTCTAGTACCTTTAATGTAGTTTCTGCCTTTTGATGTTGCAGAAATACATACAACATACATCACAATTACAACTTTACATTTACAAGGATACAAAGCAACTCCAATATAGATCTATGAATTACCTCAATTATCATTCTTCTGTTATGTGACTTTCTCCTTGACTTTGTATAATTTTTATCTCTGTCTTTTTACCTTGAGCTTATTCTTTATTATATTCTTCTTCCTCTTCTTTTCCTCTCATTCCTCTTCTTTTCCTCTCCTTCTTAGTCTTACATGTATTTGATATGATTTACTCCAGCAGGAGTGATAAGCCATAATATTTCCAGATTCAGATTCCACAATTTTTTTCTTTTGATCTTCTTCCTCCTGCCTCCTGAAGAGCGAAGTCCAGGGCCGCATATTATAAAAAGTTATGACTAATCTCAAGTTTGATAACCTCACTATCAATCAAAAGGCTTTATATTTATAATACATGGTACTTTCTTGTATTTTCTTGGTCCTCTTTACCGACTCCCCTACTCCCTAGGCCTAGCCCTAGAGTGACTTGAGCGACTTAAAAAAAAGTGTTCTTCTTCTCCTTAACGAAGAGTAGACCTAGTGTACATACATGGTCTAGGCCTAGATGATCTAGTCTAAGTCACAGACTAGCTGATTACAGTCATTTAGAAACAGCTTCAACATTATACAGTGCAAAAATATATTTGTTTTCTTGATAAAAAAAATTAATTCATTATCTTGTCCTTGACGAGGCGAGGGCGATTTGATCTCAGCTCTAATCGCTAACTTGAGCCTTGAGGCATAGGCTTACATGAAATTATACATGTGGGACCAAAGACAATATTCACATTTCATTATTCTTCAACCTGAACAACGGATCCAACGGTAGGCATCTACATTATTAACCTGATTATCGGGATGCTCTTACGTTACCGTATTTACCGAATGTGGATTAGACAAAACATGAAGTCTACATAGTGTACTCTGCAATGGTTTGGAACAAATTCTCAGGACAGTTTCCATTTTCGTAATCACACATGTATGACTTTTCGTCGTAAGTGGCGCTAGAACATAATTTTCGGGTCGCTTGGCTGAGGAGGGGGTATACGGGGAGTGGGGGGTGGGGGGGGGGGGGGGGGGGGGGGGTAGTCGCCAGGGGCGGATCCATCAAATAATTCTTACAGTTTACATCTCATTTCAAGTGAAATTGAATTACCTGTATAACATCAATCTCCATATACAGATACATTATTTCGTAAGGCACAGGTCTACAGGGGATGCAAGATCTGTGAATCTAATGGTTAGCAATTTACATTTTATAAAATATAGAAAAGTAGCACAAATCACGCATTATACACAATTTACTTCCACGATTCCGTAGGGTCCTCACATATTTGGCCACTTCTATACATTTTCTGACCAGCAAAACATGATCCAGGTTATTTTATGGGGTCCGTGTATGACAAATTAGGGGAAATACCCGGCCATATCAATTTCATGGGACAGTTAAGCGTTCACCCGTCCGCACTAAAGAAAGAGATTTTCAGCGCCCGTTATAAAGGCATGGGAAGGAATCAGAAAAATCGTACTTTGGCCGGGTTTGATAGGTTTAGCATTAGTTGTGGAGGCTGTCCAGAATAGATACCAACATCTATAAAATGCCTGATATTTCCTCTTTGTAATCATGTAACTTTCATAATTTTTGAAAATAGATAATTCCGTCATTTTTAAGATTTCGAAACACTTATGGGTAGAATTTGGAAGAGATTTAAGCGTAATTTAGAAGAAAAGTGCTTGTTTACGCCCCCTGTGTGACTTTTCCATTGGACTTGCGCCCGAACGGTATAAGCTACAAAGTATATACTATGTCGAGAACACAGGTCATTTCCTCAGCTTTCATAATATATTAGATTTATTATGATTGCTTGAAAAATAGGTCCGTCAAAATGACTTGACAAATTGTTATGTCTGTAAGAAAATACAACCTGAAGTGGCTTTCTTAAGTCGATGCGCGTATGCAATAGCTATGTATTGCTCGCTCTATTACAACGCTGATGTCTAATTGAGCATGACGTTTAATGGTAACAAAACGCCACTTATTCATATCTATTAGTTAAATGAATGTAACCAAACTATAAAATAATTATATAGGAACAAATCTTTCCATATCATAAATAACAAAAATCAGTGAAATTAAGATGTATTTATAGGTATGTATAGCCATGATTAAGAGATTTTTGTTGTGTGACAGGATTCCGGACTGTATCCATTCTACATGCAGGGTATACGCGTGTACTAGTGCAGTGTACCGTATACTACGCGCACTGTATTGCCATTGTATGCGCTTAATACGCCGTGTGTGTTCCCAGGTCGAAATTCCAGTTGATACCAGTTGAAACCAGTAAGGATTTCCAACTGGTATCTACTGGTTTGAACTGGTCTCAACTGGTCTCAACTGGTCTTAACTGGTACCAGTTGATACCAGTTGATACAATTTGGAAACCAGTAGAAATACCAGTTGACATCTGAGACCAGTTGATATTACCAGTTGATTTACTAGTTGAAACCAGTAGATGATTACCAGTTGATTTACCATTTGAAAACCAGTATGGTTACCAGTTGATTTACCAGTTGAAAACCAGTAGATGATCACCAGTTGATTTACCAGTTGAAAACCAGTAGATGATTACCAGTTGATTCCAGTTGAAAACCAGTAGATGATTACCAGTTGAAAACCAGTAGATGAGTACCAGTTGAAAACCAGTAGATGATTACCAGTTGATTTACCAGTTGAAAACCAGTAAGATTACCAGTTGATTTACCAGTTGAAAACCAGTAGATAATTACCAGTTGATTTACCAGTTGAAAACCAGTACGAATACCAGTTGACTTACCAGTTGAAAAACCAGTTCAATGTATCTTATGAATATTCATGCCTTGCATGTTTTCACAGAAAATATAATTATCATGATCTTTCAAGCAAATGTGACAATGCACATACATTTTGTGATTTACATTTTCTTAGTTAATTATTGACAAATATATTACACATGTCTGATCATGTTTTTCATCTGATTTAAGACGTAAAATGAGATATATTGATATATATGTAATTACTAACCAGAAATAAAGTGTATAAATTTGTATATATGTATGCACGAACAATATACGTCATATCACACAATACACATCTGTAATCTACTTCAAATGATCATTGTGATGGGGTAATTGCAAGAGTCAGTATACGTGGTCAAGTTGGTGGCCAGAGGCTATTAATGATTATTGATTGATTACTGGATAATCATCTGAAAAATCAACTGGTAATTCAACTGGAAATTCAACTGGTAAATCAACTGGTAAATCAACTGGTAATTGAACTGGTAAATCAACTGGTCTCAGTTAGCGTTGTTTCAATTTCCATATTAAAAACCAGTTGAATCTACTGGTTTCAGTTGAAACCAGTAGATTCAACTGGTACCAGTTGACTTACTGGTTTTAACTGGTACCAGTTGCCTACTGGTTTCAACTGGAATTCCGACCTGGGTTGATATAGGCCGGCCTACTGTGTGTGTGATGCGTTGGGGTGTATAGGGGCCTGTGTGTGTGCCACGGCAGAATACATACAACCAGGAATTACTCTCATATCCCTGATACAACGTTCTCTTTAGCTGTACCACATGTTCAGGAGACCCGTGTGATCAAAATACTGATATCATGCACTCTAATTTTAACAAATTAATATATTTTTCTGATGGTCCGAGTCCCAATTTCCACTGTACACAGCTAGGCTTATGAGCCTAACATCATACACCCCCATTTGCTATAATGGATAGGTCCAATGTACGTTTGTTCATCTAGCTAAAGCTACGCTCCTGTGCGACGCGTATCCAGCGCGTCAGTCGGTAAAATCTGCATTTGGCTCCGCACAGTGTTAAGTGCCGGTATTTTCTACGTCGCGTTAACTGTCCAAATCGAGCAAAACAAAGTCATATGCTGCCCCTTACCCCGCTTGAACTGGATTACAGATGTCTCAAAGATGTCTCACAGATGTCTTTAATCCCTTTTATTTTGACATAATTATATAGGATAATCCTTTTAACAGGCGCGTAGCCAGGGGGGGGGCGGTGGGGGCGGTCGCCCCCCCCCCCCCAAAAAAAAAACGCCGGCCAAAAAAAAAAAGAGAGAGAAAGAGAAGAAAAAAAAGAAAAAGGACGTAGGAAGAAAAAGGGAAAAGGAGTCGAGAACGGTACAATGAATCGTCAAAGCTTCCGCGCTTCGCGCGGGAAGGGGGGAAACTGAGTTCAAATTAAGAAATATGAGTCGGGAAAGGTACAACGAATCGTCTTCTTTCTCTAATAATTTAATGAAACGTCAAAGCTTCGCGCGAGAGGGGGGGGGGAACAGAATTCAGACAAGGATTAAGAGTCGAGAAAGGTACAACGAATCGTCTTCTTTCTCTAATAATTTAATGAAACGTCAAAGCTTCGCGCGAGAGGGGGGGGGGGAAACAGAATTCAGACAAGGACTAAGAGTCGAGAAAGGTACAACGAATCGTCTTCTTTCTCTAATAATTTAATGAAACGTCAAAGCTTCGCGTGAGAGAGGGTAGGGACTGAATACAGATAAGGATTAAGAGTCGAGAGAGGTACAACGAATCGTCTTCTTTCTCTAATAATTTAATGAAACGTCAAAGCTTCGCGCGAGAGAGGGGAGGGACTGAATTCAGACAAGGATTATGAGTCGAGAAAGGTACAACGAATCGTCTTCTTTCAAAGCTCCCCCCTCTCTGCACCCACCCCCCTAGGGAGCGCGCTTCGCGCGCTCTTTAAGTGATTCGCACGCTTCGCGTGCTCACTACCGCCCCCCCTAAAATGAAATCCTGGCTACGCGCTTGCCTTTTAATATTATGTTTATAATTTCAGTCTACCAGTCATGCTAATTTAGGCTTGTCTCAAACATATTTTCCAGTCAACTTTGTTACTGGCCTCATGTAAACGCTAAGTCATTATGGACTGCAATAGGCCTATACTACTAGCTGTGCCGCAATTGTTTTGTTTTTTCCTGCATGAACCCTTTTCAACTAATTCAGTTCTTCAATTCCTGGTAATTTCAAATTTCTTACATTATTAAGACGGAAGATTGATAATTAATCGCAGCATCCAAAACCTCTTTTTTCCCTATAAAAGTTGATCTATTTTGTATAATTTATTAAAGTAATCAAGTAAGTTATCAAGACTAAATCAAGACTATCAAGACTATCAAGACTAAATGAGAGAGAGAGAGAGAGAGAGAGAGAGGGTGAGAGAGAGAGAGAGAGAGAGAGAGGGAGAGAGATAGAGAGGGGGGAGAGAGAGAGAGAGAGGGGGGAGAGAGAGAGAGAGAGAGAGGGTGAGAGAGAGAGAGAGAGAGAGAGAGGGTGAGAGAGAGAGAGAGAGAGAGAGAGGGGGAGAGAGAGAGAGGGGGGGGGGGGGAGAGAGAGAGAGAGAGAGAGAGGGGGGGGGAGAGAAAGAAAACTATTTGTGAGTGATTATTAATGTGAGCCAAACATGTTTGAATGTACATCGGATCAATAATATTAATAACTAGAATTTAATTCGTCACGAGGACGAATAAGGTGGTCTGCCTTCAAGTTATATAGACATGTAAACAATGATGATCATCATGATGATCATGATGATGATGATCTTGATAGTAATGGTGATGTCGAATATGATGATGATGATGATCATGATGATGTTGATGATTATCATTAACAGACCATGATGACAGACTGAAAAAAATGAGAGAACATTTAGATAGTATATAGTCTCAGCTACAACATACTCAAAAATCAACAAAAATCAAGCCGAAATAACGGCGATATTGCTCGCAAAAGACAAGAATGTAGAATGCAGATTTGAGAAAAAGTAATCTCCCATAAGGATTACATGCAAAAAGTAATGGATCAAGTGATAATAGGGTAATAATAAAGTAAATATGGTTGTTTATTACATTATTTGCGATTTTACGTGTTTTAATATTCAAAGGAGATGGTACAGTGAAAGGTCAAAAAGAAAAA